GTTTTATCGGCATTGTTTCAGTTTTGAGTGCTACATTGGCAACATAACTGTTAATTTATAATAAAAATGAAAAATCTGACTCGAGAAGAATTCGTTGTAGGCACACTGCCTTGTCAATACGACCATCATAAATGTATAATGTTTTTGGTATGTTCTTGTATTTTTAGATAAATGTATGTATTTGTATAGTATCATATATTAGGACAGTTGTTTCATTACTGTTACGATGTTGTCTCCATAGATAGATCTGATTTCTTTGTAAAAAAGCGTATTTTCACCTATCGCCAGTTAACAATAGTACTTTACAAAGGAAGTCGGGGTATCTGCTTTCTTTTGCATTAAAACCCATTAGTCTCCAACGTTGCGTAAACAAAAAAATTTCAAATATGTTTTTAAATAAAATTACTTTTTTGCTGTCCAAATTTTCAAAGAGTTTAATTTTTTAAGTGCATGAAATATGGCAAAATTTTGGGATTTGCTCTATTCTATATTCGTCAGTCTCATTATTCAACGCAGAATACAATGGGATTTTCTAAATTATGAATTTAGATTTATCTGAGTTTTAGTAAGAGGGACATAACATGAATTGGGCACAGCGTTTATAGTTTCTGCATACCTGACCTGGTTTAATATTGTTGCGTTTAGGCATCGTTAGGATTCCCAGTACAAAGGCGACGGTGTGTCGCATCATCTTTCGAGAGAACTGTAGCACATGGTCAGTGTTGTATAATGATTCATAGTAAATAGTTAGTTTAAGTGATAAGTAGTATTGATTAGTGAAGTCCAGTTTTTTAAAATATTCGACAAAAGTAAGAATAAAATAACTAAAAGTTCGTAATATTTTAAATATTTTGTAAACGTTCTTTAGTTATAACGAGCTTTTAGCTTCACTGGAAGAGAACAATAATTTATTGCAGACTGATACCGTTGATGCCGTATATATTCCGCCACTTGTAGATAAACTTAAAGACGAAGAAGTGGTTGATGACGACGTATTTGAGAATAAAAGAGATGTAAGTTTACCTGATACTTCTGAAGTCTTAATTATTCCCATCTAGTTCAAAAAATGCGAAAAGGCTAAATAAAATTCTTCCGGAGTAAAAAAAGGAGAACCCATTTTAAACAACAGAACCACAGACTGAAGAGAAAAATAACTTGGAACTAATTGAAAATAAAATTGTCGATAAAACTCTGATCGAAGTGTTTTCTTTGTACATCAGTGACGATGTTTGGGACAAAATAATTTCGTATACAAAAAAATATGCTTAAGATAATAGTCGTCATTCATTTGAGATTGACAAAATTAGCCCAAAGAGATTGTTTGGCATACTAATTTTTTTGGGGTATCGAATGTTACCTGCTACAAAACTATATTGGTCCAAAGATAAGGATAAACAAGTAATGTTAGTTTGAATAAAAACCGATTCGATTCCATGAAGCAGAAAATACATTTATCAGATAACAACAAACTTCATAAAATTGACAGATTTTCAAAATTAAGACCTCTTTTTGATATGATAAATAAAAAGAACAATTCCTTAGCCAAAAGTTACAGCCGAGTATAATTAGCACATAGGTGTTGATTTGCATGACAATGGATTATATAACTACAGAATCAATGTAAAAGGGAAAAAACTGTGGTGGCTCCTTTTTGTAAATTTTATTGACAGTGTTATAGTCAATTCCTGGAAAATATACAATTTAGCAAACAAATCAAAAATGTCACAGTTGTCTATTAAATCCTACATTGCAGCCATTCTTATGAAAATGGATAAACCAGATAAAGAAGCTGGCATTTAAGGCGAAGACATAGAACCAAGTGACCAAGTAAACTTTCCATCATTGAACTAATTCTGGACGACCATCTAAAACCGCATTGCCTGTGGAACTTCGACATAATAATGTCGGTCACGTGATAGTAGAGGAGAAAAATTAAGCAAGAAGAAGATGTAGATAATGCAACAGCAACACTATATACATGTGTACCAAGTGTCAGGTTCATCTTCACACAAACTGTTTTGAACTATTTCACATTAAGTATTAAATTCAGATTTCCATAAATTCCAACGTTCCGTAAACGCAACATTTTGTTGTAAAAAAATAAGAACATATTTTTTTACAATTATAAACATTTATATAAATGTATGTTTGGTTATAAAATGCAGTAAAAACATCAAATTAGTTTAATTTTATAACCTTGCGAACTAATGGGTTAACTTCTTGCACCTTAATATATTATAAGAAAAATAAAATAAAAAAGAATATAAATTAAGTAAGAAGTTAAGGTGATTACAGCACCCCTTATAATTTTCGAACAAGCATATCTCAAAAAGTAATTTTTTAAAAAATTAAAATTTAGGGAAAATAAATTGGGAAATAATATTTAGAATATATGCATATATTTAATAGTTTTAATTCCTTTCAGTTCCCAAGAAAAAAATCAAAAGGCTTTAAATTTTGAAATATCATAATAAAAATAACTTTATTTCTCAACAGCACTATTCTTAATATAAACCTCAAATTTAAGCTCTTAATGTATTATTAATGATTTCTTAAAATTCGTCAAAATTAGTGGCTAAAACGCCTCGTAAGTGCTATCTTTTGGTGTAAACTAGTATAAATCGTTGCAAGAAACAAATGATGACTGAGAGTGTAGGATACGCTAGTTACAGACGCGTTACACTAGAAAGGAGCACTTAACGAGGCGTTTTAGCCACTTATTTCGGCGAATTTTAAAAAAATAATTAACAAGAGATTAAGAGCTTAAATTTGGGGATTATATTAAGAATAATTCTATTGAGGAATGCATTTATTTTCATTATGATATTTGAAAATTTAATACCTCTTGATTTTTTTTTATTCTGTAAGGAATTAAAACTTTAAAATATATGCATATTTTAGATATTTTAATTTTAATTTTTTAAAAAAATTCCTTTTTGAGATATGCTTGTCCGAAAATTATAAGAGGTGCTGTAATCACCTTAATACAAATGAAAGTAGACTTCCTCTGTAAAGTACTATTGTTAACTGGCGATGTGTGAAAATACGCCTTTTTACCAAGAAATCAGATCTATTTATGGAGAAGACATCGTTAGAGTAATGAAACAACTGTCCTAATACATACAGTATGGCTCAAATAAAAGAAATAAATTCATTATAATGAAAGTAGTTGGTTTTTCGAAAAAATGCTCGGACAGGTCAATTTTGTTTACTCAAAGCGCAATTTTTTAAATAGAATTCAATTTTCCCTCACTTCCCATTTTTGAGCAGTGGCGTCATTGACAATTTTTTTAAATATTAACCCCAATTTTTTTTTCTTGATTTTGATAGATCTTGCAATTTTCTACTCGGAAACATAATATTTGAAATATCTGACATAACAATTTTTTTTAATAAAAGTCATTTAAAGATCACATACATAAATTTTATTTTATTTTGAAACACAATAAATAAATAAAAGATTATTTGTAATTAAGTGCTTCATCTAAAAAAAAATAATAATAATAAAAAGAATTTAATGACAATTTCACAAATTTTTTTTTAATATTATTATTATTATTATTAATAATAATATTATTATTATTATTATTTTGTTTAATTAAGCACTTAATTACAAATAATTATCTTTTATTCATTTATTGTGTTCTCAAAATAAAATAAAATTTATGTGTCTGATCTTTAAATGACTAGATATTTCAAATATTATGTTTCCGATTAGGAAATTGCAAGATCTAACAAAATCAAGAAAAAAAAATTGAGGTTACTATTTAAAAAAATTGTCAATGACGTTACTACCCAAAAATGGGAAGTGGAGAAAAATTTAATTCTACTTAAAAAATTGCGCTTTGAGTAAACAAAATTGACCTGCCCGTGCATTTTTTCGAAATACCAACTTCTTCCATTATAATGAATTTATTCCTTTCATTTGAACCATACTGTGTACGATTTTCATTTAAATTCTATCCGAATACATACAGGCACCTAAAAAGACAAAAACTTACCAAAATAAAAAATATAATTATAAGTACAAAAGAAAGTACTATTATCATGAATTTAGATGTCCGGAAACCATGTTGTCAATTTGAATATTCCAATGAGCTCACACTCGTTTATTTAACAGTAATATTTTAACGTTGTATGATATAAAAAAACGTTATTGGTTGAAAATTGAACGTCGTGATTTTAGATAACGTGTAAAAATACTATTTTCTAACGTATTTTTCTAGCAATTTTCAACAGAATGTTACTTTCCGCGACATTAGAACTATTTTTATACGTTATACGTTTGGTTATTTTTTAGATTTCGAGATTAGATTTAAATCTCTCTCGGTAAAAGAATGTGCTGATAGCCGAGTTTGTAAAATATCCTACCTAGAATGAGACTGTGGAGGATTAGACTACTTCCCGGACCAATTTTTCTTTAATTTCTGAACAAATCGTGGAAGTAAATTTATACAAAGTGAATCCTAAGTTGATACTTTTTTAACTGCTTATCGAAGTCGTTAAAAGAAAGATATTTTTTAAAAAGCTCAAAAATAAGAACGATAAAGTATCAATACTCGAGCCTGGCTTTGTGTAAGAATAAATAATAATAAGTTTGTTTTTTTTTGTGGTTTTTATTATAAATCAGGATTCATTGTGTACCGGTTATTGGAATTCAGATGCGTCTGATTTTAGTAACGTGTTCATCAATGGTGAATTTTAATTGTTTAGTCTTGCAAATAGAAAATAAGGTTCGTTTGAAAAAACACATCTCAAATGTTATAGAGAGAGGTACAAAAAAAAAAGGAAGCGGGTGATTGCAGATCAGCTGGAAACACGAAAATGAATAGTTTATTAAATATTTAAAAATAAAAATTATTATAATGTCAGTTCAATCAAAAGTCCTCTCCTATTTAGTTTTACCTAAATTACCTAAATTACCTTAATTACCTTAATTACCTTAATTACCTTAATTACCTTAATTACCTTAATTACCTTAATTACCTAAATTACCTAAGTTACTTAAATTACCTAAATTACCTAAATTACCTAAATTACCTAAATTACCTAAATTACCTAAATTACCTAAATTACCCAAATTACCTAAATTACCTAAATTACCTAAATTACCTAAATTACCTAAATTACCTAAATTACCTAAATTACCTAAATTACCTAAATTACCTAAATTACCTACATTACCAAAATTACCAAAATTACCTAAATTACCTAAATTACCTAAATTACCTAAATTACCTAAATTACCTAAATTACCTAAATTACCTAAATTACCTAAATTACCTAAATTACCTAAATTACCTAAATTACCTAAATTACCTAAATTACCAAAATTACCTAAATTACCTAAATTACCTAAATTACCTAAATTACCTAAATTACCTAAATTACCTAAATTACCTAAATTACCTAAATTACCCAAATTACCTAAATTACCTAAATTACCTAAATTTCCTAAATTACCTAAATTACCTAAATTACCTAAATTACCTAAATTACCTAAATTACCTAAATTACCTAAATTACCTAAATTACCTAAATTACCTAAATTACCTAAATTACCTAAATTACCTAAATTACCTAAATTACCTAAATTACCTAAATTACCTAAATTACCTAAATTACCTAAATTACCTAAATTACCTAAATTACCTAAATTACCTAAATTACCTAAATTACCTAAATTACATAAATTACCTAAATTACCTAAATTACCTAAATTACCTAAATTACCTAAATTACCTAAATTACCTAAATTACCTAAATTACCTAAATTACCTAAATTACCTAAATTACCTAAATTACCTAAATTACCTAAATTACATAAAATACCTAAATTACCTAAATTACCTAAATTACCTAAATTACCTAAATTACCTAAATTACCTAAATTACCTAAATTACCTAAATTACCTAAATTACCTAAATTACCTAAATTACCTAAATTACCTAAATTACCTAAATTCCCTAAATTACCTAAATTACCTAAATTACCTCAATTACCTAAATTGTCAAAATTACCAAAATTACCAAAATTACCAAAATTACTTAAATTACCTAAATTACCTAAATTACCTAAATTACCTAAATTACCCAAATTACCTAAATTACCTAAATTACCTAAATTACCTAAATTACCTAAATTACCTAAATTACCTAAATTACCTAAATTACCTAAATTACCCAAATTACCTAAATTACCTAAATTACCTAAATTACCTAAATTACCTAAATTACCTAAATTACCTAAATTACCTAAATTACCTAAATTACCTAAATTACCTAAATTACCTAAATTACCTAAATTACCTAAATTACCTAAATTACCTAAATTACCTAAATTACCTAAATTACCTAAATTACCTAAATTACCTAAATTACCTAAATTACCTAAATTACCTAAATTACCTAAATTACCTAAATTACCTAAATTACCTAAATTACCTAAATTACCTAAATTACCTAAATTACCTAAATTACCTAAATTACCTAAATTACCTAAATTACCTAAATTACCTAAATTACCTAAATTACCTAAATTATCTAAATTACCTAAATTACCTAAATTACCTAAATTACCTAAATTACCTAAATTACCTAAATTACCTAAATTACCTAAATTACCTAAATTACCTAAATTACCTAAATTACCTAAATTACCTAAATTACCTAAATTACCTAAATTACCTAAATTACCTAAATTACCTAAATTACCTAAATTACCTAAATTACCTAAATTACCTAAATTACCTAAATTACCTAAATTACCTAAATTACCTAAATTACCTAAATTACCTAAATTACCTAAATTACCTAAATTACCTAAATTACCTAAATTACCTAAATTACCTAAATTACCTAAATTACCTAAATTACCTAAATTACCTAAATTACCTAAATTACCTAAATTACCTAAATTACCTAAATTACCTAAATTACCTAAATTACCTAAATTACCTAAATTACCTAAATTACCTAAATTACTTAAATTACCTAAATTATCTAAATTATCTAAATTATCTAAATTATCTAAATTATCTAAATTATCTAAATTATCTAAATTATCTAAATTATCTAAATTACCTAAATTATCTAAATTACCTAAATTACCTGAATTACCTAAATCGCCTAAATTACCTAAATTACCTAAATTATCTAAATTATCTAAATTATCTAAATTATCTAAATTATCTAAATTATCTAAATTATCTAAATTATCTTAATTACCTAAATTACCTAAATTACCTAAATTACCTAAATTACCTAAATTACCTAAATTACCTAAACTACCTAAATTACCTAAATTACCTAAATTACCTAAATTACCTAAATTACCTAAATTACCTAAATTACCTAAATAACCTAAATTACCTAAATTACCTAAATTACCTAAATTACCTAAATTACCTAAATTACCTAAATTACCTAAATTACCTAAATTACCTAAATTACCTAAATTACCTAAATTACCTAAATTACCTAAATTACCTAAATTACCTAAATTACCTAAATTACCTAAATTACCTAAATTACCTAAATTACCTAAATTACCTAAATTACCTAAATTACCTAAATTACCTAAATTACCTAAATTACCTAAATTACCTAAATTACCTAAATTACCTAAATTACCTAAATTACCTAAATTACCTAAATTACCTAAATTACCTAAATTACCTAAATTACCTAAATTACCTAAATTACCTAAATTATCTAAATTACCTAAATTGCTTAAATTACCTAAATTATTTAAAATAACCTGAATTACATGTTAATTATTGTATTCAAACAATAATTGCATTAAAAAAAATAGATTCTCAGTTTTCAGTTTACTCGTAGGTGGGCAAGAAAAAAATTTGTGCGTAACTTTTTATCTGAAGCGGCAAAGTATCACTGTCCGCTTTTTACATTTTGCTAGTTGGGTTCTGGCCATTTTCTGAATCGTTATTTTTGCTTTTTGTCAAAAATATCTGTTTAGGATAATCAACCGTATTAGATTGTCTTCCTTTCGACACTCTATAGAACAATCCAATTATTTTTTTACAGGTTGGCAGCGCTACGACCACTTTGCCGTCTTGTGTGAGCTACTACCTGTTGGTATTCCAACATTGGCGATGTGTTTAAGATTACTGCTTGGTTATAACGATTCACCAATAAGTCCACCGAAAGAGGTTGCCAAAATTCTACAATGCCAGCAACCGTACGCTTTGATGGGACCGGTTTTTGGTAGCCCAAAATGTGCTTTTCCTGGAGGCGATATTCTCGAGCACATCATTCATTTTCAACAATTTAAACAAGAATTTGAAGTGATTGTTGAAGATTTTAGGTACAAAGGATGGCTGAATAATTTCAATATACAAAATTGTTTCTCAAATACAGCTCATGTCGAGTCAGTTACTAGTTCTTTGTCTAGAATTAGAGAGGATCTGATTGAATTAAAGGCTGATTTAAATTTGTCTTTACAGAAAGTTTATGACAAGTATACAACTGAAGAATGGTTGGAAAGTTATTTTAACCCTCTAGAAAGTCAGGTAGAAGCCTTATGGAGTGCTAAAAATAAATTATTAAGTCAGAAAGTTTGGAGAAAAAGACCTTTCAAACAAAATAGGTGTGACTTATGATCTTGAATATTCTTAACTATTAGAAATATAATTTTAGTGAATTCTGGTGCCTCCTTTATACACCACTATAAAATAATTCAAGTAGAACAGTGCTTTTTATTTCTTCTGAATGGTACATTATGTAACCTGTACGAAAATAGTAAAATCATTTATTTATTATTTAACCAAACATTTAATTATTTAACTTCTTTTATAAACTATTTAGAAAGTTGACAATTTTTGTTGTATAGCTAGTCATTTTATTCATGGTGCTTTATCATTTTCATTATCGATGGTTTCACAGACGTACATTCGTTTGTCTTCACAAGGTTGATCGTTCCAAACAATTTTTTTGTCGTTTTTCAAAATTTCTATGCAAAATTCATTCCTCCTCGCGTTGTTTGGTTCACCTTTATTCCAGCTGACAAAATCAACCACTTTGCCATTAGTCCATTGCCACATATTGCCTGGCTTGAAATGTCCTGATGACCAGAATATTTGTGTAGCACCTGGAAAAATTACAATTTGAATTCAATATCATACCCATTATGTCATAGGCACTAATAGACTTATCCATTCATTCATGATCAAGCCTTTTTTAAAGCAATTTCAGATTGTGTTTATTAATAGGCAGATAGATCTGTTGCATCGGCTACCGCATTAAAAATAAAGAGAGCTGTAAATTTGTGAGAGTATGTTTATCTGGGAAGTCAGTATTTGAATCGGTCATTTGAGAAACAGCACATGTCCGTTGTAGATCATTTTTCAAAAAATAAGAAAAAGTGAAAATCTCAAAACGTGGTTAAAAAAATAGTTTTGTGCACTTAAAATTTGCCATATTTCGGATATAATACAATAATTATTTAAGCAAAAAAATTAATCGGTAACAAATCATGGTTAATTATTAAAAATGAGTGACATGTGATGTTTCTGAAATGAACATAAAAACTTAGTAAAAAGGGATATAGTTTTATTATTATATATTCTAAAATTCATCAAAAAAGATTAAAAAATAAAAAATATTCATTGATCTTATCGTTTTCATTTTCAGTTGTCGGTAAAATTAATATTTAGGTATAAAAGTCTGGGGCATATCAAAAACGTTTTTCTTAAAAAAAAATTTAAGTGGTATTTTTACTTAATTTGGTACTAATTTGTATTAAATAAATCGTACATAATTTTCACGTTAATTGTTTTATTGAGATATTATTTTTCTGTCCTACTATAGTTATTTTTGTAGGAAAGCTCCTGAAATGGTCCTTAATCTGACCAACTATATTTCCTTGTTTTATTTCCTGAAATACACTTGTCTTTGACGATTAACTTAGTTAAACGTCGAACTCTTGCTATTCTATTGCGTAAATATTGATAAAAGCCTTCTAGCAAATGGTAATTCATCCAGAATAAAATGTTATGTTTAAATGAGTGAGTATTCAGTTTAAATCATTCCGAATTCATTGGCCTCCTAACTTTGACGTTATTGCAAGCCATCAATGCTTATAAATAGGCATCCTGCTCATTTTTGGTTGTCAGGAGTCAAAATCTTTAAGGAATCTTTGTAATAACACTCTTCCAGACTCTCTCATAATAATTTGATAACTGCGTGGATGAAACCGTGAATGTTTTTAATTCGATTTTTGTAGACAAAAATAGGCTAGTAGTTTTTCGTCATTGATTACAGCTAGAGGTGTCATAACGTCATTAAATGACACTCAAATAAATAGATACAGGGTGATTTATTGGAAAACAAATAGGTTTACTGTGGATAATTTTTCTCAAATTCTTTGCTTATTCATAATTTAGAAACAACCTCATAGAATTTTTTGACATGTAATACTCTGTCATTCATATCTTTTTGGTAATACCAAACAATACCTGTCCAAGAAGCGAAACTAAAATGGTGATTCGTGGAGAAAAAACTACCAAGTTTTCTCAGTGTTTTAGAGGTCAAATACAACGTCAAATATATTATTTTTTTATTGGTACCCTATTTTACTTATTTAAAGTACGCCCCAACGTGTTTAAAACGAACTTTAAAAAACGCGCGTGTTTTAAAGTTACCATGGCAACATCAACAACCCGAGAAACGTGATGTCTAAATGCCAACTTTTTAAATATTGATCTGACAGGAGTGTCTTGTAATGTCAAATAAAATATTTCCATTTTTTTGTAGAAATAATACCAATATTTAGGATTTCAAAGTATACCAATAAAAAAAATAGCAATTTGAGAAAATTGCAGTATAGTTCAGTAGTTGTATTCAACTAAGCAGTAATTAGAAATTAAATAGTTTAAAGATTTTAATTACATGAAAAAAAAAATGCATTGCGTTGTTCGTAAATATAATGAACGTTTTTGCATCCGGCTGTAAATGTTTTATTTTTAAAATTTCTAAATCAGTATTATTAATATATATTTTTTTTCTTAAACCATTCGAACTAATACAGTAAATAAACAATATTACTAAACAATAATTAAAATACATGTATGACAAACCCACTTCGAGGAACTATGTCGCTGCTATCAGAATGCAATCGAAATGCATTTACAGCTACTGACAGTACCTCTGGATACGAAACGTGTGGAGAGTAAGTAATCTCACTAGGTCCATTGCGTATCCTTCCAAGATGTGCAAGAAAGTGCAATCAGAACTTTTTATTTTTCATTTTTTTAAAACTATCTTGTTGTCGCTTGGTTCCTTTCTGCATATCCATGTCCAATTTATGTTCTATACAAGAGACATTTGAAGAATTAATAAGTAAAATTTGGAAAGCAATTTGAAAATTGAAAATGAAAAATCAATAATCTGCAAAGTTCACGATATTATTTCATAAATCACAAGTATTTTGTTCTCGTAAAGTGCAAAGTGCAAAGTAAAAAGTTGCAAAGTAGTTTTATGAAATAGGCCCTAGGTAATCTGCTTACGCTATTATGTAGTGACTGTCATTATTCCGTTATTAAAATATTCTATTTTACATAATGAACATAGTAAGAATTTTCTGTCATTTATACTCTAGTATCTGTTTAATTCTTATGAACCAAACCTCATAAATTTATTAATTTTTATACATTTCCCATTGTGGTATGTCCTCATGCTTCGCCACATACGAAAACTCATTCAGTTTCGCTTCTTGGGTAGGTATTCGTTGATAATACCAATAAAAAAAAGACTAGGTCAATAAAAAGAGGTACTTGAAGAAGTATTGATGAATATTGTGTACAATATTTGACAAGTAATTATTAATACGAGAATCTTAAAATACACAAAAAAAAAATGTGATCAAATGGGGTGGAAATTGTGTGTACATCTACTTAGCCTATTTCGCTACACACTAAGTTAACTTAAATAATTTTAATCTAAGGTACGCAATTAATAATAATCTGTCCCTTTTGTACCTCGAAAATGCTAAGAAATAAAAATTTGCACTTTGAACAATAATATAGTCTTCCCCAAAAATAAGCGTAACATCGTTGAATTCTATATTTTGCTGTCTTTTTAGGTATAGAAAAGTATAAACAAAAATGAGATATATTTGTGAATTTTGAGCTGTCGGATCTGGATTTTTCTACTTTTCTTATACATTGGTATATCCGATAATATATGGATGATAAACGTACTAAAGTCTACAAAAACTACGGGATTGATCTCAAGTTATAAATAAGGAAATAATTGGACAAAATTGATAAAACACATTTTATCTTGGTTGTAAATGTCAATACATTTTTGAAATAAAAATTTTTTGTGTATTAGATTAAGTACACATAGAATAACTTAGGAGTTTCTAATCATTTTAACGTATACAGGGTGTTAGTGTATGGGATCGACAGCACTTTACCCTAGAGAGCTTTCCTTAATTGATGAATTTTGATATAGGAACATAAACCCTCAAAGTTACCGAGATACAGATTGAAGAAAGTTTAAAATCAAAATTTAAAATTTTCCATAAATCAATAACGACTATTATTTATATTTTTTTTATATTAAATAATATTATATTTAAAAAATTAATATCTTGACATATACCAACCTGAAAAATGTACCAGTGGAGCTCTATCAGGGTTTTTTATCTTTATTTTTTTTTTGTCGGTTATAAGCAGGTAGGGTTAGCTTTGGCCCAGAACACTGCGGCCCCTGATTTTCCCGTATTTAGGTACTATCTTTGGAATAGTCCTGTGTCTTTGGTTAGTTTTAGTAAATTCCCTACCAAGTGTTCCTGGGGCGTTCTTTCCGGTTCTAGGCTGAAGAGGGTAAAAGGTCGCCTAGTAAGAGCTTCGCATTCGAAAATAACATGGTATGAGGTTTCTTCCTCTTCCATGCAGACTCTACACGTAGTGGGATCATTGGGTAATCCTATTACATGAAGGTGTTTCAGCAAGCAGTGCCCCGTTAGTAATCCCACAATGATGGATATCTAAAGCCTTGCAAATTGTAGTGCCTCAGTAGCCATGCGTGGGTTTGGTACCCGTAGCATATTCTGTGCCCTCTTATCTGTTGCCAGTGAATTTGTTGTTTTGTGGTTATCCACCTGTTCACTGCCTGTCGAGGAGAGGTTTTGATTATCCCAAATACAGGTTCGGGTACTGTGAATGCTAGATCTTATCCATCTTTGGCGAGTTCATCAGCCTTTTCATTTCCCTGGATATCTTTGTGCCCTAGCACCTACGCTAGTTTTACCTTGTTGTGGGTTACCAGATAATTTAGTATTTCAAGGCAGTTTCAGACAAGCTTTGACTTGATTCTGTTTGAATCAAGAGCCTTTAAGACTATCTGACAGAATAAGAATGATTTGGTTTTTATATTATAATACAGTGGTAGGTATGTTTTCCCAGTGAGACGATAATGTCGCATTTTGAGTTTAACTCCATTTACGCCAGAGCCTGTTCCCTTGTTAGTTTTAGATTCATCCGTATACAGTATGATACCGCCAAGCAAGTATTTATCTATCTCCTTATTTACCTCGTTCCAGTTGCAGTTGATCTGGAAGAGTCTGTTGAAGGTTAGGAAGGGTGTCATGTGATCTGATCTCATGTTTAACATAAAATCATTTACTTCATGCCAGCCTCTGAACTCCTGAGAGGCTATTGAGGCCTATTTTCTGGTTTACTTTTGGCCACCAAACCACCGCTCCATAAGTTATCATGGGTCTTGTTATTGCCAAATATAGCCAGTGGACCATTTTTGGTTTTAATCTCTATGTTTTTCCAGTTGTTTGTCTCCCTACAATGAAAGGAATTTTACATTTGTTGGTCATTTTTTGTAAGTGTTGGTTCTAAGTAAGTTTGCTATCTAGGATTAAATCCAGATATTTTACTTGGTTCGTTTTGTTTAGCCTTCCTCTAAACAGAGTCAGAGTTTTTAAAACATCCAACCTTGTTTTTTTCGGGTAAAAATTATGAGTTGTGTCTTATGGTTTACCAAGAGATTTTCCCTCGGATAAGGATGACTATGTCATTGGTATATCCTTGAGCGTACAGCCCTTGATTGTTCAGTGTATTCAGTAGTTCATTT